TTGTTGAGGATGCGTGGAGTTCAGCCTCATTGAGTTGTGGCTTAGGCTGGGTATTTTACTCGGTATCGGGTGAGTTACTTAGTGAGTCGACGAAGCATGTTAGGAACACTCCTTCAGCTCTCTATGCGGAGGCAGAGGCTCTTCTCGCGGCAATGAAGCAGGCTATGACACAAGGATGGGAGGAACTGCATATTCACTCGGACTCTCAAGTTTTAGTTGAATAAAGGAGGAGTTAAATGAGCCTTACGGAACCCTGATGGAAATCCGTGTGTTTGAGTTTTGATTTTCGTTTACTTTCATTCCACGTCTAAACAATAAAAAGGCTGATTGTTTGGCCAATGGAGCTCTGAGGTCCCTTGAGTACTATGTTTCTTGAGTTTATCATTCTAATAATAAGATCATCTTTCGACTAAAAATAAAAATAAAAAAGTTTACGTTCACATGCATGTTTGGGGAGAGAAAAAAAAGGATTGAGTGTATCACATTCACACCGGAAGCAACGCGTACGAGTAATCGTGTCGCCCATTATCCAATCCCCGTTTCTCTGTTAAATCTGATTTTCTCTAATTTAAATGAATAGTAGTATTAATTTGAAATTATGGGGAAAGAGATCAAATAACAGAAAGTTGTATTTACGGAGAAATTGGGCATTGCAACTTGAGGATCATTCATTTCTTTCAACACGAGATTATTCCTCTGATTTATTCGTAACACAGACTGGAAATTATTAGAATATACTACTAGTTGACAAAACTAAAATCACACAGGAACAAATAAACTATAATAGCTTCCAGCTTCCCAGCACGAAGAAGATAAAATTTTCATTTCCCAGGTAGATTCGAAAATAAATTTGAACTGAAGAATTGTAGGGCTTTACCCCGGAGGGAGCCCTTCCAGAAATTCTCAAAGGCCCAAGACGAACTTAGGCCCAAGAGGGGGTTTGGAAATAGTTTTCAACCAGCAATAGACGCGCCTCGGTTAGTACCTCATTAGCTGCGTCATTGCCCCAAGCGCAAAGATGCTTTTTCACRGTGGAAGTGACTCTCATTTTATACTACTACTCTACCGACCTTTCAAAGCTTCACAAGCGATGTGGGACAAACAAAACTCCTTTCCGATCGGGCTTCTCCGTATAATT